TAAGGATGGGACATTGATCACCTCTATATAATTTGAAATTTGTACCAAAACAATTTCTAATAAATTTCAATATAATTAGGTGTCTCAAGAAACGAGGCGCTTAATACCGCCCATATCTAGAAGCTGAAGGTCGTCAAGACTTTCGCTATACAGCCACGGTGCGTGGCTACATTACACGAACGGCCCAACCAGAGTGTCGGAAAATCTAGTCGCCTACACGAATATGCAACCACAAATATACAAGCGAGCACCACCAACATTTACATAGAGACAATCCAACCAACATCAACACAGAAGCCGTCTTGACATTGGTCCATAACGTTACAGTTGGTTTTGTAACGATATCAAAAGCCTACATTCCAATGTTTGTTTGAATGAGACGTTCGATTGTTCTCGAGTGGCTGGTGATCGCCCACGTGTTGAGAAGTGTCATAGCGATTGCACAACGAGCAGACCGCATTCGGGGTCCGCCCCCGACTTCAGTCACAGGTGAACATTTGCTTCTCAAACTTCGGCCTTCTGAATGAAGGACAGCGTCGGATTCATATCGTTAAGAATATCTATCTATCTTATCTATTTACTTACTTAGCATTATTGTCGTGACTGTAAAGTCTGTAAAACAGCTCAACAAGTTCATGATAAAGCTTTTGGAAAAGGATCTTATTTGACTAATAAGATCCTTTGTCTTAGCTACGAAATGTTATACTTTTTCAAATATAATTTCAAGCGGGTATAGTTGGCGATATATATATAACGTATAATCGAAACACGATAAGTTAATATAATAACTGCAAAGTAGGGGACATGGCAGCCACGTTGGCCTCGCTCGCGTGCCACTGCATACGTATCGGGTTTCGTTCCGCAAACTTGAGATAACTGCTTGACGCTGCACAAAGTTGCTGCATACTCGGTGTCGACTTTGAATCTCACCTTTAGCCTTATATTATCCACTTTTAGCTCACGACGACCTATTTGAATAAGAAACGCGAGGTTGCAATCGTAACTAATTAATAAATTTCCCGAGTGCGTAACGAGTTAGTCACGACGACTAAAAAGGTTAGCGCAAGAAACGGCTCGCTCAGCTAAAAACAGCGTTCTAATATCGACACTATATCCGAAATAGCCTCGTGACAAACGAAACCGAAAGTAATGCGTGATGCAACGTTCTCAAATTTAGCTGGTGCGGCCCAGAGCGGTGCATCGGCCGCAAGGGAACGCCGTGGCCGGCGCCGTGGGTGCCAAGCGGCTGGCATTTCGCACTAATGACACGAATAAGATATTAGCGCGGATAGCTTGCCAGCCGGCGCCGGAATTCATCTCAGGTATTCGGGCCGCTCGTAGTAACAGAATTAACAGACCGATCGTACGCTAGAACTTTGTTTTTGTAAAGTACTATAACTATATAGTGTGGAAAATATCATCACTGTACAAAATTCGCGCATCATGCATATAATGTCACAGTTGATACGGTATAAAATATGTCACACGTGTAATTTTAAGGGCGGCGGGTGAGCGAGGTGAGCGTGAGGAGCGGCGCCGGCGGTGACATGGCGAGCGCAGGCGCGGGTCGTAGGTCCGGCCGCATTCCGCCGCCGCGCCGCATGAAAGTGAAACCGCTTCGTCAACCAACCGCTCAGCCGTAGAAAGTCCACGATTACATCTCTGCAGCAGCGGCGCACGAGCGATGCCGGACGAACAAAAACTGCTATCTCTGCGCGTTGGGCTCCCGGGAAACGAAGCGCCCCAGGCGACGACGGACGTCGATCGAGCCTCACAGAGAAATTGTCGATAACCACTGTTGATCAACAAACTACTCCTTTCATTTTCATAAATATACAAACCACATTGCTCGATTTTAGGGCTCCGTACCTCAAAAGGAATAAAAACAGAACCGAATCAATTTATTGTCCGACTTTCTGACAAAACCTTTAATTTTATTGTTAAAGTGTAACAGTAATTAAACATTTCTTCTAAATTGACGTTAAAAAAAGTCAAGACCGTTTATGCTGCAACAAACGCGTTTTCGACACGCTAAAAACTGTAATAAACCTAGGTCACCGCAAAACAGCTTGTAACATTGCACTCTTGAGTATTCATAACATTAAAAAATGTAAAATAAGATATATTTGTTTTACTTTAGTTAGGGTTCCGTCAAGTATTTCGCTAAAAGTTTACGTCACCAAAAGTTTGAGCACCGCTGCACTAGACGCTTCCAAAGTGACCACGTGGTAGGGTGCATGGTCCGACTCAATATTTAAATGTCCAGCCTGTACGACTTTTCTTAGACTTTTACTGAAATGCCAAGTGATGACAAAAATATACGGATTAATGATTTGGATTGATATTATTGAACTGGTTAATGTGTCATCAATAAATAAATATAGCTTGATACATATTTATGGCTATTAAGTTATGGTTATTACTATTAAAGAAACTAAAATCCTACTTTTAGGGCAAATTTTCCAGTCTTGGCTTTTTTATTTTAGAATCGAAATCCACAGGCAAATCCGCTAGTGGACAGCTAGTAATGAATCAATTCGGTTTTATGACCGACCATTGAGTCAACATTAACAGGTTTACAAAATCAATAACCATAATTTTTTAGATAATATTAACAATTATAACAACCAGCTTATAAAAACTTACAAGCCATTTCTTCCAGTTCACGTAGGTATAACTGTCAAGAAACGTCCGGTGTCCGTTTATGCAATCAAAAATCCGTCAGAACCACAAAATCGGCAAGGTGGCAAATGGATCAGTTTCACAAACCAGTTCCTATTGACGAGAGGGGGAACCACTGAATAAAGGAATACCACATAAAAAAATACAATCGTTGCTTGGAGCATTGCAGCAACGGGCGTCGGAAACTGCCGTGGTAGCAAAGCGTCGCGACGTCAGCACGCACGACCTTGTGCGTCAGCGTCACACAGACCGTGCACGGAAAGAGCCAGACTTTATTGATTGCTAAGCAACTTTCGCAAGAATGTACTGATGGGATGGGTGACCATCCCATGAGTATTGCCAAAGGTATTTAAACATATGTTTAGTTATAATTTTTTAATTTGTTTTCGGTTCATGTTGAAAACATTTTAAAACCATTCATTGTAACTGCAATAAGGTTTCAATAACAAATTAAAGATGTATGTATAGCTAGGTACTGCAAAAAACTAGAACGGCTCATATATAGGACAGAATGAAGATGTGAGGAAGATATTTATAGCAGAAGTACCTACCCAAAAAAAAAACATGCAGATTTCAATAATGGATCCTGTTCAAGATAAAAAAGAAATATGATACCCAATATGCCTATTTTTCAATATACAAATTTCCCAGCAACCCCAGTGACAAAATAAGATTTGGTAACACTTCAATATTACAAACTCAAGTAAGTATCGTGGCATGAAGTGCTTATCCAATTGTAAAAAAAGTTTTCATCAAATGCAACATGTGTTAACCCACCTCATCACCAGTGGAAAGACTGTCATATGATTTCACAATTAGTCATTTTGTAATCTTTAATAAGGAAAGAGAATTAAAATTTGCATAAATGAAAATAGGTACCTATTTGTATTAAATATCAGAAATGCACAAGGGAAAACATATTTGTTTTAAAATACTTAATTTGAAAAGTATACAAGTACTGCATTTTATACTTTTCTTAAAATATGTTGAACATCTCAGTTCTTTATTATTTAGCCACAAAATATTTAAAAGTTTTAAATTATTTAGGAATGTAAATGAAAATACATTTTTTTCACTAACACAAACAGTTCTATCTCAATATAAACATTAAATTAGTATTATGTATAATTTGTTCTTCATTATTAAATAGGTAGCATATAATATGAATTGAATAGATCATAAAATAAGTCATTGCTGTAACACACAAAAATATTTTTTTCTGATTAAAATGTTTGTACTTTTTTTTAAACTGGCATAAGAAGCTGAACAATGTCATAATAGTATTCCCCGTATGATAAATAATTATACACTCAAAACTTATCCTATATACTTTCATTTGATGTTACCATATCACTTGATGTTAAACAATAATTACTGGTGATAATTGTAACAATGACTACAAATTTTCAAGACACTACGAAAGACTGAACAATTTAATGATTGGCAGAATTAGCATATGGGAAACTAGGTAGCTTAAAAAAATATGTTGCATGTCTTCATAAAAAAAATGTACCAGGACAAAAGAAATCTACATAAGACATGGTATAATGAAAATATTTGCCAATCTTAAGACCAGAAAGTTCAAAACACATATTTTTTTAAATAATGTTAAGGACATTTTATCATATATTGTCAACAATCATCATACAATTTTATCAATGTCTTCTGATAATACTTAACCACTTTACAGATAGTATTAAGATAATGTTCACACACAATCATAAAATTTTCTATACATATAACTTTATAAGATACAACAACAGCATTCAAGCAAGTCTGTCTGCCTAAAGAATAAACAATAATGGTCAAAAACTTTTTTAATAAAAAAAAACTTAATTGAAATGACAGAATGCTTTGTTATTTGGTATACCTTTATAAGTATACAAATAATGTAATTAAATTATTCAAAAACAATATACTTTGTGTAGAAATATTGCTGAAGGCTTATATTTCACAAAACATATTATTATTGTAGATTGATAGTTTGATTTTTTCTTCGGATTATGCTGTTAAATTTGCATGGATATTTTATCACTGAATGACATTATAATTAAAAAACTAGTTCTATAGTTAAGTCACTTAATCAATTATAAGATTTCAGAAATTACTTTTCTTTAGTAACCTAAAGATAAACTAGGTATAATCAAGTAATGATAGCATAGCAATCAAAGAATGAAAGTATGTATATTCAAGTTTGTTTCGCATTTCATATATGGATATTTAGGCACTTACTTAATTTCAGGTTATTCCAATTGCGTTCATAAAGTTAATAGACATTAGGTAGTAACGATGAATGACGTAATGGAAACAAAACTGACCTTGCAAAGGGTGTCTGCTCAACGTGGTAAACGTCTGTAATGGGCTCTGAGCGCATTATGCTGCGCAGCCTCTCCTCTGGCAACTCCAGCAGTCCATCGCTGGCTGTTTTGAAGTCAGCTTTGCTCAAACCACTTAAAACACTCATTTTTAAAACGTGTAGACGACTAACGACCGAGTCGAGACGGCGATTATAAACTTTCAAGTGTCACTGAATGATCCACAATAGTCCTTATTATCAACAAATACACTTAAATAAGTAATAATACATCAATTAGGCCACATGAAACATTTCAATGCCTCCGGTTTCTCAAAAGGTAACAGAGTGCTCTCCCTTGTCATTGCGAGAAGCGGTTACTGTTTCTTTAAAAACGCTCCACTTGTTGATCAACACGATTATAAAACAAACATTTAAATCACTTCATCATATATCGCAATGAAAAGATATAAGTTGTTTATTTACACACGCGTTTCGAGAAAACTGAAAATTGACAAGCGCGACGAGACAGCTGCGCATCGACGAGTCGACCGCACTTCGCCGTACACGTTTCTTTCTGCTGTTGAGTGAGGCAACTTGATAGTCGGGGAACGCACATACAGCCATTCAAAATTCCGTATCCGACGTTCTAAGTTTGAAAGTTGTAAGACAAGGACGTTAGCGAACTTACTAATTCTACTATTTGTTGATAGATGTCGCTATTAAGTCCGACCAACTTTAAGATTTTTTTAATGCGCACTAGCGCCAAAGACGAAAAATAGTCTATAAGACGCGCCTATTTTCCTACAAAAAAATAGGTTGCCTACTCCATCAAATTACTTATTTATAGGCTCCTACTCCACATCTCATAGACGCCGCGGGCACCATCCTTAGATAAGGGTTGCTTAAAATTGATCTTTTAGCAACAACCAAGATGCTTATTTACCTATGACATATACATATTTTTACTTGGCATAAACTAACTTAATATCAAGAAATTTTTATTAGGTTCCCTAATAGCATTATTTATTATATATATATCTGTATCTTTTATAATACTCCAAAACACTAGTGTATACATAAGCAGATATTTTTACCAAATAAACAATAATTTTAAAGAAGTAAAAATTGATAATATTTAGAATACTATCATTATTAGCTATTAACAGTTTTTACTTTGTTCAAATTCTCATTTAATGGTTAAAAATATTAGCTTTACACATTTTCTCTTTTAAACTCACTAGTGTCATCTATGAACGATTCCAAAATAGGCTTATATAGGTTTTCCAATCCAAACTAGATGGCGCTTGTTGAGTACAATGTAAGCAAGGATTTTTTATCATGACCGATAAATAGATTTGAAATGTTTATATGAAATAGCTATTGTTAACCTAAAGCATCTTCAAAATAAATGTTGAAACAGCCTCATATAGTAATGTCAAGGAAAAATTTATGCAAGGCTTGTTTCACTCCAAACCTTTACTTTTCAAAATTTCCAAAATTATAATTATCCAGGTCATGGAGTAACTTATATACTGATCCAGGTCTCAGATCCAGGTAAATATGACCATGTCGAGATCATCTGTTTAACAATAACACCAAAACAAATTTATGCTAGCTGTTTTCCCGGGGATGAAAAAAAATCATAATCGGATCAGTTTTTCCGAATAATACCCCAAACAAACAATTAAAGTTAGAAAAGGAGAATGGGCAGAAGTCGCAAAATTGCGCACTACACATTTATTTATACAAAAATTTATCTTCAATTATGATTAATTATACGTAAAACTATTAAAAAAATTGCGCGGTGTTTAAATTTACATCTATTTATTTATGATTAATTTTTTTGCTCTTACATACTAAGATATTATAAAGACATAAACTCAAATTGCCTGTTAAATATTCAGATATTCTCAAAACCCGGATAATTTTGAAATGACTATTTTTCTTCATATTCTAGAAATAACTCTCTATTGTGTATTGTTACTTTCAACAAGGTACACGGTAACGCAAAAATAGTCGAATTCTTATACTAAATTGGCCATTCACCTTTACCTCTCTATGATATTAGTATAGATAGTCTTGTTTTAAAAGAGAGGGGCTATCACGTGTGTTTTATGAATTATTAGAGCGATTTACCTATTCTAATTAATTTATATTTTCAGATTTAGTTTACGATTTCTGGTCCTGGAGCAAAACAGATTTGTTTTTAATGTATTCACATCAAGAACCACTCAGCTCTCTAAAAAAAAACCTTATCAGTAACATTTCATACACTTTTCCGATGAGGTTCAGTAAATACCATGGACGAAACTATCCAACCGCTCCCTTATATTAGGGTCAGACAGTGTCAAAAGTATTTTCAAGTCTAAGACATTATGACACGCATATCTGGATAGTGACCACCTAACTGTCTAGTCATGACTTAAGCCATAGGATATGACATCCTAGTTATATTTTGTAACTTTACTACTTTGATACGCTCAGGTTTACTTATAATAAAATTAGTTGTCGTTTTCCTCGAGCATAACAAGTAACAATAAAAAAATACAACAATAGTGCGTTATTAGCTAACGTACGTACGAAGTGTTTGAAAATAACTGCCAACCATATTCAATGACCATTTCCCATCACACATACAGATCTTACACAAATATTATGTTTTCATCAAAGAATAAAAATTGCTTAGAAAAAAAATAAACGTTTTTATTTTTAAATAGTTTCACACGAATGCACGTCAGACATTGTGTATGCTGTACCAACCGCGTTTCGTATAGAACTTCTCTACTAACAGAGGTCTGCTAACGGTGGCAGTGTGTAGCGTAACGTGCAGCCGTGTGTTATAGTTAATATGAAACAATTTTCTTAAAAACTAATTTTATAGATAACAGATTAAGAAACTATTATTAGCTATCACTAGATGGTAAAATTTCATTTGCAATACTAATTATTTTTCGAACTTCTTCCTCAGAAAGTCTTTCCTCACTCTCTTGAACAATCTGAAAATAGCAATAAATAATAATCAAATATTATATACAAAAATTAAAATTTTAAGAAATAATAGTAATATCACGACACTGGATTGCAAAAACCCGCTTCATCAAATTGGATCGTCAGAGCATTACTTATCTTTATTTTTTCAAAAACTTACTTCCATATTAATCAACTTAAGATTTACCATATTTCTTATTTATTATGAATGTTCATAACAATAGTTTTTTCGAAAAATAAAGTTATTGTTGCCTAAGGCACGATTATGGTTTTGCAGGTTACAATGCTTTCCTGCGTAGATATGGGTCAGAAACTAATTTTATATATCTACAAATAAATTAAACCTAACAGGAAGAGGTTTGTGCAAAGAATTCGTTGTATGAGTCATTTAGATTACAGTTGTAAAACATATATTGAACACAATCAACAGCTAAATTTAACTTCTGACCAATAGTACTAATTTTCCCTTATTTAGAAGTAAAATGGTGTAATATCTCTTTCTGTATTAAACTTACTTTAGTTTAATTTAAATTAAAGTAAGTTTAAATTAAAGCAAAGTTGATTTTTGCTCATTATACTAGCACATCATGCATATTATCAAATAATAAGTTTACTTGAGTTGTCTTAATTGTCTACAAAAATGAAAATACACTTTGACAGGAATAAAACTACATCTGGTTTATACAACAGAATTGCCTCCATTCATTAATTGCCTAATTTATGAAAATTTCATTATTCAAACCAATTCAAAGAGTTTCAATAGGCTTTTAAATTTGACAAATGAAGATAGAATACAAAAAAATAGATAATTTTTTCTTATTTTGAAATATGAATATACAAACTTAATCAACATGATTGATAATTAATAATAAGTTAAAAAACATGGTAATAATACACAAATGTAATTTTCTTGGTATCATAAAATATATTGACTCAAGTGAAATGAAAATATGCTGTATAAAAGATTTGTTCTAAACAAAATAATTTATTTAAAACACAGAATTAATTACATTGATAAATATAAAAGACCCATACCAACTGGATTTCAAGTTCTGTACGTGGTGGAGTATTTATCATCATCAGTTTTTCAGACTTGGTAAGTTTGAAAGGTTTCATCGCTTCCAAAAACATTTCAATGGATCGGGCATTCTGGTGTTTACACTCAGAGTTTTGCAAGTAATGTACAGTCTGCAAAAGTCAATTATAATTAATTCAATTATCAAATTATGACAATTTATATCGCACAAAAAGATTTAATAAATATATATGGCTCCAATAATCTGTATATAACCAGTATTTTAATACCTAAAATGTGTAGGTATTATGTATGAAACATAATTTATTTTATACTTTCCCTTTTCCATCTTCTTTACGAAAAACTGAATATGCATGTAATAATTGCCAATTCTGTGATCTCTAAGCTATTTGGGTTTGGTTTACCCTATTGCAGAAGTGACACCATTTCTTACAGAATTGAAAATTTATTTCAACAAGAACGTTGCAGCAACTGTTGTTGCTAAGCAACTTCTGCATAGGTTGTTTGCCAAAAAAATATTATTTTGAACTACTTCATACTTCCAAAGACACACTAAGCTGTTAATCCTGCCTGCATTGAGAGTCATTAAAACCCTCCAATCTGCATTCGTCCAGTGTGTAGAGAAGGTCCATCCTCTTTAACCATTCACAGGGAAGGTCCCTTGAATGGTTATAGAGGATTGCCTTCAGTGGGGGCATAAAAAGGCTGATAATGATGAAATTTCTTCAAAGAAAATAAATAATACATTAATATGGGTACGCTAGACTGAAAATTTCCTTATTTAGTCTACCGTAATTTAAAATGTCAAGTAGTTTTGTCCCATTAAATTGAAGTTCATTTATACTTTATTCACAATGAATTAAATATAAATGATTTGTTTCAGATAGTCGCCATAGTATCATACCTCATAAGTAACAGTAGCCAACAATCCTTCTCGTTTATGTTTCTTTTGTGTACTATCTTTGAGCTGTTGTAAAATATGCATCACTTCAAAATTTGACAGAAATGCTGCATTTGCTTTAATACTGAAAATTAGAAAAACATTTTCTTATAAAATAATTGAATCTTAGTAACAAATAAATGAGATAATAATAATGGTCATTCTAACCTTATCCTAACATACTATTTATAAGTAGAAACTTATTTTGATCAAAATGTATGTAAAAATTTGGTTTTATATATTAAAATAATTACCATCATGCAGCTCTCATTAAAATTGATGCTAATATTCCAATAAGCTATCATGGTATTTTGTAATAGTAAATGAAAATGCTACTGTACAGTTTGTTTCACGAAAGAAGTCCCTTGGATCCGAAATTTTTCGTTTATTTTCTCTTATACGAACCTTGTCCTGACACATAAAAAAATAATCATTCAATTTGGTGCAGTCGTTCCGAAGTTGCGAGCGTACTTACGTTTCGGCGATTATATATTTTAATAATACAGATAGGAAAATGCCAAGGGAACTGTTTCGTGGAATATTTGTAGCATGCTATATATAATGATAGAGCGATATCATAAACACAAATAAAGAAATTCAATAAAAGTCTTTCTTAATTTATTAAATGATATTTAGCCGGAATCTAGTCCTATTAATAAAAATATACCAATAAATTTTAATTGATGAAACAATAACTTTATTCTTGTAATAAACTCACGTTTCCATGTTAAATGTCAGTTATCAAAATCGAATTGCTAATAAAAAATGGTGTGAAACTAAAACATAACACATAATAGCTTCATTAATTTACTCCTTAATAGCATTGATTGAAACAAAAACAAAAACTACTTTCATTAATTTAAACAAGCTTAGGTGACTACATGTCAGATTAACACAATACGTCAAAGAACAATGGTCAAAATGGACTACGAAAAAAAAGTTTTTGTACCAAGATGGAACTATCAGGGGTCGAAACCGGTATATCTTTCGAAACGTTTTCATCTTAAATACCTAAAAAACACTTTGTTTCGGTTTCGTTCGAACAGAACGATATAAAAAACGATTTTGGAAGAAAACAGAATTATATTGTTTTCGGTTAATAAAACGTTTTTAACCATTTATTTTGCGTTTTTTTGCATCGCATACTGTAAATAACGTAATAATATAAATGTACTCCGCCCTTACAGCCCGCGCGGCACCGTCTTGCGGATTAAACCGGTTTTTTAAAGCGATCTCATTTCGTTTTCGTTTCGAACGCAATCTTGCCCAAAGAACCATAAGAAACGTTTTAAAAACGTTATTTTGAATAACGTTTCCTAGCCCTGGGAACTATTACCAAAATACAATTTATTTTCAAAAGCTGGGAAAAAATAAAAATTCCTCTCTAAAATATGACTATTTTTTAGAACGCAGTTACAATTGTGTTATTTTTGAACGCATCTTGGGGTATGTTCCGATATACACTGCGAGCACTGCGCAGTAGCGATGTTAAAAAATAATAAAAACAATTTTTATTTTAATCGATTATTATTTTCGTATAATCAATTTTTTATAATCGAATTACCAAGTCATATTAATCGATTTTTAACAAATCGATTAAATAAATTGCGCGGTTAAATCGATTTTCATAAATAGCACCATCTATGCGCCAAATGAAAAAACTCGAAGCATTATTACTTAAAAGTTGATTATATAAAAACGGCGCCATCTGTAGGTATGTAGGTATACCGGGTGTTACAAAAATACCCGTTATAGCTGAAGGGTGTTGAAGTATATCATATAAACAGTACTCTGCCAAATTTTCAAAACCTTTGCATTAACTTTTAACTTTCAGTAGAAAGGCTAATTTTTAATAATTAATAAATACATCGAGTGTGCTATGTCACATCACTATTTTAGGTTAATGACCTTACCAGGAGTAATGGCACACTACCTATCTCCTATGTTTTCTAATTTTTTTTTCTATTCTCCTAGTACACACCCACACATACACACTAAGAATGAGAGAGAAAATATACTTAAAAACATGTCTGCGTTTGCCAGTTTACACAGTAAATACTTAACCTATTTCGATCGAAAATAAAATGAAAAGAAATTAAATAGGAATCAAATCATTGGCAAAATGGTATGGTAACCGACGCTGTTCAGCCGGTAGTCTAATTTCAGTAAAAAAAATTATAATACATATTATTATCAACGCGCACATCATTTCATAGCATCGTTTCCGACTCAGCTGTTTCTGAATTACAGATCAAACACCATTTTAAGTAGTACCTATTTATGATAGATAGGTAAAATTTATTTAAACACTGATATACGAGTCTAACTTTTAGTTCATACTTTAATGGTCCGACAAATCTGATTGATATTACGATAATAAAAAAAAAATGATATGCGACATAATTCACAAACGATTTTGGCGTATTTAAAAATAAATATTTGCGAATTACTATTTGTACTTTACCTTTTCACTTCCTTATTCACTGTTTAAGCATTACTTGTGAGGTTCACTCACCTACACTTTATTAGGCACTTAATTTTATTCCACAAGAAAAAACTAAAGATCGCGGCCAACCTCTGGTTCACTGACGTTTCAGTATAATTACATCTTTTCAAAATAGTCTCAATTTATATCAATACAACACTGCATCCCATGTAACACTGATAAAAGCACTTTTCATAGAACTCGGAATTAGAGAACACGGACATTTTCGAAACGTGATCACATCGACGACGTATGAACAACTGAATAAAGAAAAAGTGATAAAAAGGGAAAGCCGCCAATTTGAGTCCTTTATTATAAGCCGCTGCATAGTGTGCGGCATGTCAAAGGCGCACAGAAAGGTACCTATAGTTCCGCAATTAAATCTGAGAAGTAGCGGGATAGGGTTGCCATCTTCTCTTATTAGATCGGAAATTTTGTCCTTAAAGCCGGACTAAGTCAAATCTCTCGCGAAGCCGTAAAACAATATTACCGTAGTAGACAGTAATATTAGTTCACGGCTTCGCGAGGGTTACTGCCTAGTTATTCAGAGGGTGCGTTAAGCAAAAATCACTAACTTTCAATTGATTTTGTAGTAAGACGTAACATACAAATAAGCGGTAATTAAAGATAAGATAACTACATCATAATTTTAACGCTTTTATCACAGCCAAAACGTGAATTCATAAAATAAGGCTTGATCGTAACATCAAAACTGCACAACCTATTTTGAAAAAGGTTTTTTTTATAAAGTAATTTCGGAGACTATACGATGCAAACAAACTAACGATTTGTATTCAAATTTCGCAAATGCCCGTGCAACACTGCGTCTTTTTGGGTATTTGACGTTTTTCGAATTTGTGTGTATTCATAGTTTATTTGATATAGCTTCGGCACAGGTATACCAAAAACCTATGAAAACTATACCGCCGGACATGTGACATTAACATTTAGCTGCACACAATCTAAAAAGTCAAACATGTCCCGCTAAAGACGGATAGATGACAACCCTAGACAGGCGGCAATGTTAAAGTTTGAGCCTAAACTTCTAGTTGCCTAGTACCGAGGTGATCAACATTTTATTGTACAAATTAAAAAAATCGTCGCAGGACATTGTTGCAACTAATTTTTTTACATACGTACGTAAGTACATAATACGTTACGTATTATGAACGTTACGTATTAGGAATTGTTAATTGACAAAGATTTTGTAAATTTTTATTGTTGTTGATAAGATAGTACATGGTTGTATTTTTAGTATTTACAAATTTAAACGTTGTTAATGTTTGGTAAAGACTAGTTTAAGTGAGAAATGTGATATACTTTCACGCTGCACCTGCAAACGAGCATGCTTGGCTCAGTCTGTAGAGAGGAAGTAGCATCGACTATCATAAGACATCGTTAAATAAATAAATTAATGTATTTCGTGGGCCGTAGTAATCTGCATACAATCGACATACCTGTTTAAAATTTTAATTCATTTTATACACCTTTTCTATTTTGAACTATTTTTCAAATAAATGACCATTTGTTTGTTAGCTGTGTCGGTCGTTTTAGGGCTTTTTCTATTTAAGGAAATAGGTAAACAGTACATAATAAAACGTCTCATTCATTTTCATTTCTTACAGCATTAAAATAGTGAATCCTATACTCTGATTCTAAAATTCAGTTGAATAGCCCACAGTAATAAAATAGATAATAAATTAAAATCCGTACCAAATGTTTACTACTACCGTATCTAGCGTCAAGTAGTCACTCGCGCGCGACATCACACAAACACGAACGATAATGTTTCGTTTCTTTCTCTCTCTCTCTTTCCCTCCCTCTCTATCTCTATCTTACGTCATTGTACACTCGGGGGAATAAGTGAATTTGTTTTAGGCTCGATTTTACCGATTATGTATTGATTTGTCTTACGTATTTAAATACCTAAACAATAAAAAATATTTTTAAGAGTTAAGCTAATGAAGTTATTTCTTAGCACCGGATACAACCCTTCCTGCGCGAGTCCAACTCTCACGTGGCCGGTTTTTTTTTATAATTAGTTGTTAGCAGTTTGATAAAACTAGGACTTTTGACTAGTGAAATATAAAAAAACTTCAGTTATTGAGAATATTCAGTAGAGATTTTGTACTTTTCTCAATTCAGAAAGCGGCTCTTTGTCGACATTTTTTCTTGTCAGACGCTTTTAAGATACCTAAGTGTAGTGCATATCATTAACTCTAAGGTAGCAATCCATTTTACTTGAAACAATTTACATGTAGTAAGAGTAAGTGGTTGAAACCATAATCGGGAATGATCATATTCCCGATTAAGGTTCATATTCCATTTTAAGTCTGATCTTTTTATTGTAAAAATATTAGAAAAGAAATAAATTGACCATAAACACAATTGAAATATGTACACGAATATTGATCAATGTTTCAATTTATTCCCCGACTGTATCTGCGCTGACGTCATATTAGGTTTACTTTCGTAACAGAAGATTGTAGGTACGAGTACCAGGTTATCATGATTTAAAGACACGATGTGTAAAAATTCTGGTTCAAAGATGAAGCAGCTACAGATAGACAAAGTTATCTGGAAGACACTCAGTAATATACGTCGCCTACTTTCATAATATTGTAATTACCTAATTATGAAAAAAAATTGTTCGTGCAATAACGAATATTCTACTTATCTAGAGGTCGCGATATTTCTTCTTCCTCTGATTCTTTATTTGTTTAGATTAGATGAAATTGATTTTATGAGTACATTATTGAGTGACGTGTCGTAGCATTAATTATAAAGATTATTATTTTGGATGGGCCGTCTACAGTTCGTAAAGAGATATTGTACGAGCATTTCAGGCGAAAGTATTTAATCCAGTGCAGTGACTATAGCGTACTGTTTATTGTTTGTTTCCGTGCCTGATATGTGCGTAGTACGGGCATAGTAATATGGCAAGGTATATTGGAAAGGGAGCTCTAATCTGAATAAAAACGAATTTTGGAAATAGTTTTAAAATAATGTTTTCGTGTAATATTTTGCATGTTCGAATATTTGCGTATGTACACATAACTAGATAAATTATTTCGCTGTACTGTGACGTAGGCACTAAATACCAGTAGATATAACCAGTCTGGCAAAATAATAGTCTTTGATTTAGAAGTCAATGAACTGAAACAGCTGGTCATAATGTCGGTGTGCTTCGATAAATGGTATCGAAAATTTTGCTAAACTTCGATATTGTTTTTTTCAATAAATACAATGGCTACGATATAAAGGACAGCGTCCATTATCTCAGTTTTATGTGCACTCAATGCCATTTTCGGGGTAACGGGTTTTTTTGTAACACGCGGTATATGATCGACATTAGAATAACATCGATATCATCATCGTAAGTCCAACATCGATGTTTGATATTTATCGAAAACTAAACATTTACATTCATGACAATTTTTTTTTTTATTATATTTAATTTTTTGCGACAATAAGGTTGTCATTTTGTTGGGGTGCTCATTTAATTTTTATTATTATAAATCGTTTAAAGATACTGAGAATTTCTATCAATAATGATATTTGGTTTCATTATTCCTTACCTTGAAAGTTTAAAAGAACATTTGCTTTGATTTTTAGTTTTGAATTGTCAATTTTTTTATTCATATTATATTTTTTTTTAATCTGATTAATTGTTAATATGATCTTTTAGGTTTATTATTGGAATAGGCAAAGCATGTAGGATTTTAAATAATAGAAAAAAAAACGATTTTTTCGCAAATATCGATTATTTATTTTCATTAAAATCAATTATTGACAAATCGATTTATAATTTATAAAAGAAAATCGATTTTTATTAAATCGATTATTTTCTATTAATCTCACATCCCTACTGCGCAGTGGTCTTACTGCTGAAAAATCCGTTCCGTTATGGACTGCCAGTATACTGCTACAGTACCCTAGGGAAATTCATGACGTCATAAATTGCCGCAATATTTGTACTGTGAGCACTGGAGATTTCGAGGTAAGGTGCTCGCAGTGCTTTTGATCACGTGATCAGTCGAAACAGAATCAGAAAATGATAAGTTTCTAAATAAACAAAAAAAAAAATACTTACGTTTATTATAAGATGGATAAATCATTTTTTTAAACAATTTTCCAATTTTATAATATTTTCTTTTGAAAAGAGGGACTCTTTATATTTATATTCACCTTGCATTAACAAATTTGAAAATGGCGCCAAAAAATAGGATTAACAGTATACTGGACTGCGTTCCGTTTTAAAAAATCACCAGTATAACTAGCTATAAAGGAACTGGCTTCCAGTATACTAAATTGACGTCATACTGTTCAGTGGTCGCAGTGTATATCGGAACATACCCTTAATAATAATGTCATTCCTAGAGAAGTCATACATACATACAAATCTTATATTATTTACTAACCATATAAATTCATGAAAATTATAAAAGTTAGATTAGATTACTAATATAATTAGATGTTACCTAGAGGAAAATATTTTATTTATAATGAAATTAAAAACTAATGATTATTCATAAGCATCGATATTACAGTATTCAATCGATTGCGACCTCCATTTTTTAGACAAGTATGTGTAGACGTGTTTCTACGCAGACCGTTTTGTAACTTTGGCGTACATATTACACAATTACTCGATACTCCCAGCTTTTAAAAATATATTTAATGTCTTTCTTTGTTCTAGTTGTATAGGCAAACAAAATAACATGTTTCATCAAGTTACGTTTTATTCGATTTTACTAGTCCAAGCATGTTAGACAGATGGCCATTGTTCTTTTTGCAATGACTTTTGACAAGTGTAGTAGTTCTGTCCATAGTTACATTACCGTTTTCTATGATGGTGATTTTGACCAACTTTTGACCATGTTTTTTATATTATTCGTTATGAGGAAGTATTTAAAAAATAAAAATTATTTCTTGAAATCATACTAGATGTCACTCGCGTTGTTTGGATTTTGTTTATGATATTCCATTGAAATTTTGTTTTTTACGTAATAAAAGTAAATTGAGTAGCAAAAATTTCTGCTGCCATCTAGTGACAAAACTTTTTGTAGTTTCTTTATTTTTTTAAATACTTCCTCATTGACATTAAGTTCACACAATTTGTGCTGCCATCTAGTGACATAAGTTCTTTAGTTTCTTTATTTTTATTTAAATACTTTTTTAAATCGAGTAAGCTAAACTATAGCTGAATCATTCAAGTCAGCTATAGTTTAGCTTACTCGATTATCCATAACATGACCAACAAGATCAAGTTAAAATCTAAATAGTATAGAAAACGATAATATTCTGATATTTCTGTTATTAGTAATAAATAACTCAAAATGTTGCATTTAAAATTTAGAAACATTGCTATTGAATGTGCCCGAAATATTCAGAAAAAGCTTTTTATCCGTTTATTCAGTCAAGAAAATTTTACTTGTGGTGTTTCTACAACAACGTCTCCATTAAATGCTCATTACAAACATTACATAAAGTTGCCGCTGCCAGAAGATAAGATTTTAGCCACTTACATATGGATTGATGGTAGTGGAATTGCTATGCGATCAAAAGATAGGATTTTGGAGGAAATTCCATATGATTTGTCCATGGTTCCGAAGTGGGCTTTTGATGGTAGTTCAACAGGGCAAGCAAAGACTAATAATTCTGATACCCATTTAATACCTTCGGCCATATACAAAGATCCTTTTCGTAAAAGTCCTCATGTTATTGTACTTTGCGAAACTTACAACGGAGATGGTTCGCCTACGCTCACTAACCACAGAGCACATTGTGCTAAAATAATGAGTAAATTATCAGATCAGGAGCCATGGTTTGGAATAGAACAAGAGTATACTATGTTTGATTCAGACTTGTGGCCTCTTGGCTGGCCAAAAGTGCGCGGATATCCCGTGACAAAATCACAGTACTCTTATTGTGGAGTAGGTGAACACATTGCTGGAAGAGATTTAGTGGAATGTCATACCAGAGCCTGTGTTTATTCCGGTATGAACTTTGGTGGAACAAATGCAGAAGTTATGAAAGGATCGTGGGAATTTCAAATAGGCACCACCTCTGGAATTAAAGCAGCCGATGATTTGTGGGTAGGTCGATATTTACTTAATAGAATAGCTGAACATTTCGGGGTAATCATTAGCTATCATCCTAAACCAATGGGTAAAGAGCATCCTGGCATAGGCTGCCATCATAATTTCAGCACAGAAAAGATGAGAAGTGATGAAGGTATAAAAGAAATCGAAAGAGTGTGTAAAATATTATGTGAAAAACACAAAACAACAATAAAAAATTATGGACTTGGAGATGGGGACGAAAATAAGAAAAGATTAACAGGGAAGTTTGAAACTGCTTCTTTTGATACCTGTAGGTGGGGTATTGCTGATCGTGGCGCATCTATAAGACTTACGCGTAGTGTAGCTACTGAGCACAAAGGATATTTAGAGGATCGAAGGCCAGCAGGTGACTGCGATCCATACAGAGTTTGCGCTTTGATAGCTGAAACTTGTTTATGATATAGAAAACCTCATATGTTTTAAATCTCAAAATAAAGAATTAACGCCGATTTTCATATATTTTAATAGACTTGACAGTTGACATTTTGTAATAAATTTTTGTAAGGGTAAATTCTATGCGAAAAAATAATTATTATATAAACCATAAATATGAATAACTTACTAAATTGTTTGCGTTTACTTCCATTCACCAACATTACGGTAATACCCAAAAGGACATTATTGAAACATTCGATAAATCATATTATGAATAAAAAAATTTTGGATAGATATCTAAGGCTTCCAAATGCCTGTAACAAAGTACAAGCAACTTACATATGGATCGATGGCTCTGGAATAAACATGAGATGTAAAGATAGAATTCTTACTTGCGTGCCGTACTCGGCGGAAGCAGCTCCAGATTGGGCTTTTGATGGAAGTTCTACGGGTATGGCTTCTACTGATAATTCAGATACTAAATTAAAACCAGTATGCGTGTGTAAAGATCCATTTAGAATGGAACCACATGTACTTGTATTGTGTGATGTCTATGAAGGTGGTTCAAATAAGCCTGCCAAAACGAACAATAGACATTTTTGTAATGCACTTTGTGAAAAATATAGAGATGAAGAACCTTGGTTTGGTTTGGAACAAGAATACACAATGTTAGACGTAGATGGTTGGGGTTTGGGCTGGCCTAAGGGTGGTGGTTTTCCAGCAGTTAAATACCAGTTCTCGTATTGTGGAGTTGGAGCAAAATACATTGCAGGAAGAGACATATCCGAAGCTCACGCAAGATGTTGTCTTTACTCTGGTCTTGATTTCGAGGGAACCAATGCTGAAGTCATGCATGCATGTTGGGAATGGCAGATCGGTACATCCGTTGGGATGAAAGCCCCTGATGACTTGTGGTTGTCCAGGTTTATCATGACTCGCGTAGCTGAAGATTACGGTGTGGATATTACTTATCATCCAAAACCTATGGGAATGTTGCATCCTGGTGTAGGAATGCATCATAATTTTAGCACAAAACGAATGAGATCTGATGGTGGCTATCAATTCATAGAGGAATGTATAAAAAGACTAGAAGCAAACCACATGAAACACATGAAAAATTATGGTAACGATGAAGCAACAAACAGAATGCGACTATCCGGAAAGTTTGAAACCGCTCCTTTTGAGAAATTTTCATGGGGAATAGCAAATAGAAAAGCCTCTATTCGCCTTCAAAGAAATATCAAGGAAAAAGGCAAAGGATTTATGGAAGATCGAAGGCCAGCTGGCGATTGTGATCCTTACCTTGTTTGTGGTATGTTATTGGAAACTTGCTTGGGAGGAGCCTCATCATCGTCGTCGAAGAGCAATCCATGCAAGAAGTAAATTTGGTTATCTTAACGTAAAATGTTTTTGTATTAATTTTGTTATCGAATTAGTCTCGTTTATAAAATACTTTTTTCGATATATATAAATATATAATTAATTAAATATATACTTGTTTTCACGACTTTAAAAGTTTTATATTCCTAATATAAAGGACTACACGGTAAAATTATTGCGAATTTCGTGAAATTTAGTCATCATTATTGTCTAGGTACACTCAGGTAAAGCACCTTCACAACCAGCAAGGAACTTTATAAGACAACTCATAGATTTTACACCTACATACATTCCGTAGAATCACTCAGTTTTGTATTATAGGTCGGTTTACATGCGTACATTAAAGTAAACAAATGTGTAAAAACCATTAAGTAACACACTTTTACACTTTTCTGGATATACTACACGTCTTCACGCCACTGTCTCTAGTCAACATCCGACATTATTTATATTCTTAATGCTCAAAAAAAACAATCATGTACTCTGAGAGCAGGGAACAAAGTGGATTTGTTAAACATTTTTCATTAAGAATATTTTCCAGTATAGCATTGTGAATACAAACTTGATCAAATATAAAAGACATTATTTTATTTGTAATGTAGTTTTATTTGAATCAGAAAAATTGGAATGCATTTCATAAATTGACATTAAAAATACAAGTATATGTACGGCGACGGCGGCGCGTACAAGATTACAATTACATGCCGTCACTTCAATCTATTTTAAATGTTATTTCAAAATGTTTGGCTGTTAACGTTTAAAATCATATGACAGATTTCTATAGTACGACGTCTTTGATAAGTGAACTATTCAGAGTACGACGTGCATTTCAGTCTACTTCATTAATAGTAATCCATTTTATCTGTATGGTTGGAACTATTGTTTGTATTTCTTATGCCGCGACCGCACGTTTGGCACTTGCCGCAAACTCCAAACCTCTGCAAACGTTTGGCTTGATTTAGGGAATCAAACATCGCTATCCACACGCTTGTGAGTGATTTAGTGTGTTCTGAAGAGTCAAGCATAACGGACGTGATGGATATTGAGGTTATATCGGCCATAACATTTGGTTTAATTTCTTTTTGCATGGTCCTGCCTGGTAAAGTTCCTGAAAATTTAAAATATCTTCACTTGACCAGTCACTCATGTTTTTACACAATGCAAGCGTACATCTAATCATCACCAGTACACAAACGAGACTGAATACGCGCAAAAGTGTGGACGCGTCGCAAGCGCTGGCGCAAACTTCCTTTGATTTGTGACAAAAAACCGACATTAGATCTGATCGACTCCAAGAGCTTGCAAGTCAACACAAACCAAGGCAAACACTCTGTCCACACGTTTGAGTTTGCTATGCCTTGTTGAGGTATAGCAAGCGTGCGGACATGGCATTACAATATGGTGGCAAAATGAGGTGCGTCTTAGAGTTTTTTTAAGCATAGAGTTGCTCCAAAATAAATTATTATAGACAAACAAGTGTTCTGACTTCTGAAGACGTCAACAACTCACTCACTGACACTAGCTCACAACTCAATGTCAGTGTATGTGTTTTGCAGCGCGGGCGTGCCTGTCTTGAGAATATCCCGCTTTAATTTTTTTACAAATATTCAAAACAAATTTATAACTTAACTTAACAGTGGTTAATATAAATCGATATCGCTTCTTTATAATAGGTACCATTAGGTACTGAGAAAAAAATTTAACCTTTTGAGCCATATTTTAGCACATGTCTTGCACGGGCTTAACGTTATAGCTCTATTGCTAGTTTGGTTTATTCCTAAACAGAGATAGTGAGTTGCCATTATACAATTAACTGCATTCCATAGACAATAAACATTCAAAAGTTTCGTCCGCCATTTTTATTCTCTTCTCTATTCCTTTCATCATATGGCGTACGGTGTGTTTCGTCGCGTTGATCCGCCATATTAAATGAAATCAATAAAACAGAACAAAATGTCGCCTTACTAAAGTGCATAAAGTTATCCACTAACATCCAATTATTGTGTAATTAAAACATCAAGAGGATCACAATGGAAAATTCCTACGGTGTGGGGGTTAATAACAGATACGCTCTTTTTTTGGACGATGAGTCCGATCCTCTTGATGCGTTAAAAGCGCGAGAGCAAGCTAAAGAGCTTAAAAAGAAGACCAAAGAAGCAGAAAAAGAAAATAAGGGTAAGCCCGAAGCCAAACCTAAAGGTGGTACGACTACCATCAGGAAAGGAATCAAGGAAACCCAAAATGTGAAAGCTCAGGATAACAAGAGCGGCGATCAACAAAAGAGCAAGGGTCCCGCTCGGCCAAATGACCGCAATGCGGAACGTCCACCACCGCGTCGCCGTGAAGATAGGCCGCAGAATGGCGCTGTCGAAAATAAGGACGGAGCTCCACGACCTCCCAGACGTGAGTTTAGTGACCGCAGGCCTAACTTTGAGCGGCGCAACTTCGCCGACAATCCGGAAGGAGCTGAACGCCGCGGGCCGAGGCCGCGAGATACTCGTGATCGCGACGGACCGCGCGGGCCGCGTCCGTACGACAATCGAGGCAAGCGTGAATTTGACAGAAGGTCTGGTTCTGACAAGACCGGCGTAAAGCCAGTGGATAAGCGTGAAGGCGGGGGCCCACATAATTGGGGTACTTTGAAGGACGACCTCGACGAGCTAAACAAAACTGGATCGGAGGGCGAAGTTGTAGAGGAGAAAGCGCCTGAAGCACCGGGTGCTGGAGCTGGTGACGGGCAGCAGCCGGATGCTGAGAAACCTGCCCCAACTGAAGAGGAACCACGCGAGCTGACTCTGGACGAGTATAAGGCTTTGCGGAACGCTCAGCGCACTGCACCACAATACAACTTGCGTAAGGCTGGGGAAGGTGAGGACCTCAGTCAGTGGAAGAACTTGGTAATGTTGGAGAAGAAGAAAGAGGGTGGCGAGGACGACGATTCTGATGATGAATACGATATCGCTGATTATCCTCAGCGCGTTGGTCGCCAAAAGCGCGTGCTCGGTATTGAGTTTACGTTCAACGATACAGCTCGGCGTGGAGGCACCGGTGGACGAGGGCGCGGGCGTGGACGCGGCAGAGGCCGGGGCCCGCCGCGAGACGAAGCGCCACCGGAGGAGCGCCCTGTGTCTCGTCCACAGGTAGCTCCACCGAAGGTGGACGACAGCAAGGATTTCCCCTCCCTTGGCTAAACTCACAGTGAGCCATCGCTCTAATTCACATGATAGAATACAAATAAATATTGTATTACCGTTATTTTTGAACTAAATATACAAAATATTTACACATGCGTGTATTATATTACAATTTCATTTGTAGATTTTGGCATTGACTGTCTTCAAATCTGCAAATTAACATTGTTGGGTTCGCTTTTAATAATTCATATAAGACAGCTCTTAACCATGCTCTTGTTAAATGGCATGTACATGAGGGGAGGATATTTTTAAGAGTTTAATTTCAGTACACATAGCTACGACATTGCATATTATGAATCTATGATAACAGTAGCTTTTATCATAATGTAATCACAGCTTTTAATAAGATCGAATAATTTTAAAGTTATGGACTGTGACATACTATAATGAATTAACTCCGTCACAACTTAGTGTAGACATTGTGAAAAAATAACCCTTGTTGCATTTTATATCATAAGTTTGTGTTGACAAATGCAGACTTTGGGAAATGTAAATAGTTATATGTTTAAAATTTAAGGTCTTAACGAGGTTGATTTTTGTTGTTACACAAACTTCTTGAAAAATAAACATTTTGTATGTGTGAACTTTCTTCATTATTTTTAAGTGTCTAAAAATATCCTTTCCTCTCAAGTTTCACATTCCCAATTCCTCTCTCCTGGAAGTTGTTTCATTATTATGTAGGTTTGTAGGTTATTATATTAACTGCTTTGAATTTGATTTCTAATTTCACCAGTTATATTCACATGACTATTGTAGTGACAGCAGTGTAGATAGAAATAAAACAAAAATTTGGTAATTAATGTTTTGTATTGACACATTTCATCACTTGCATGAAAACAAATAAAAATATACACAAATAAACAGTTCATACACAAAGAAGTTATTATAAACATAACAAAACTTAATATAATAAGTTACACATTTGTGTAAAGATTTACCTAACCACAATAAATAGTTTATCTACATTTTTATATACTAATGAAATTTAATACTCTGAACAGTTTAGCCCTGCGATACTGTAAAAATCCAGACCTGAATTCGAATTCACGTCATTTAGTGAGGAAATTCTATTGATTCCATTATTTGTATAAAAATACAAAACAAAATTGATTGAATATACGTGAACACGATACGTTATTCTCAATTCAAATTTGAACAGATGCTGTTTTTAAAGTGAATTGGGACACCGGAGTGAATCCGAATTCAGGTTTGGATTTACAGAATTGCAGGGCAGTTGTGAAAATGAAACATTTAAAAATGTATGGAAGTTCAATTTAGATTAGGATTTAAATAGACACCATAACAGACACTTCAATCAATCATTGCATATAATGCACATATGTTTACTCGGATAAAAGATTGAAATATGTGTGATGATAAAGATTACATCAAACCTGTTTATAAAGAATGGGAAAAGGAAACAGTTATATTGAGTTTCTATATAATAAATTAGCTATAAACAAAAATTATATATAAAGCATTTTTAAAGTTGAAGATTTTTAAATAAAAATTAATTTTATTGAATTTTTATTCCCATTCTTTACATAAATTAACCTAAGAGAAGAAAAACTAATATTGTGTAGTTTTATTACAAACACACATGAATATTAATACAAATTCAGTATTGTATAGGATATAAATTAAAATTAGGTGGATATTTGTGAGAAAAACTTAAAGATTCGAAAATGATTATAGAACTAATATGTTTATTTAAATAGCTGACTAGTTGCGATTGTAATTGGAAATATATTCATAACTTCCATAAAAATAAAGAATCATTTATAAAAAAACAATTTTAATAACGTCATCAAGTGAAGACAATGGTAGTCATTCGACTGAGCGATACGAACTATAGCAATCAATAACTAGCACGTATAGATAAACAGTTAAATATTTGTAAATTATAAATTAGTGACGTAAAGCATATTATTATATCTAAATAAGGGACTCGAGTCCCATGTCACAGCCACAATATACTTCACTTACACATTAAAAGCATTAATAAAGTATAAATAGATTATAATAATAATAATAGTAGTGGCTCATCCAATGAAGTTCTAGAGGCACATCTACATTGTTATCGCACTTATTAATAACATATAACTATCTTTGTTCGTCGGCTACACTATCATTTGACTTTATTATTTACATTTGACAATAATATTATAGATGTGACTATTTACATGTGGTACATTTTTTTAATCAGCGAACACATTTTTATTAAATAAATATGGTCGTAGATTTACAGTTAAGCGAAGCATATACCAAGGTAATACTGCCTTCAACAAAGTGTGGGATCCACAAAATCATACACACAGATTCAAACTTGTCCACTCCTATATTTTCTAATGTACAAATGAGAGTTTGACTGTGACTGCGGAGAATTTTACAAGTCCAGTTTTCAATATACATTTCTGTGAGCAAACAGATGTGCCATCATCAAATCTACACGTATTCTACAGCGTTTAGTAACCAATATCAATAGTGTATATTTTATTTATATAATAAGAAAGTTTGCGAGTTCCTCGGCCCAGTAGTACACAGTGATATAGGAAAACAGGATGGAGAGTCTGAAAGTCATCGAAAGTTTGAAGATGTGACGAGGTGTTTCACTCGATGCCGAAGGTATTGGTCTCCTCGACGGCTAGCAGTAATTTCTCGTGTAGCAGTTGCGGGGTGGGGTAGGGGGGCAGATCGAGGCGATTGAAACACGTGTGGGCCCGCGGCAGAGATTCCACGCGGCCCCAGCGCTCTATGCAGAAGCGGCGGGGGCCCGTGGAGCCTCGCAACGCGGAGAAACCTTCGTACGGTATAGAAGAAGTTCCCGTCACGAACTGTACTAGCCTCAGGCGCTGCTCGTTGCTAAACCTGGAAAAGAACACGCGATTAGATTCTCCCACGGTGCGGTCGCATTATTCCATCGTTTGCGGTCACCCTATCTTTGAAATGTGCGGTGACGAGATAACGCTCGTTACGTTTTATCTGCATGCCTCGTTTGTTCATCAATAAACAAGTTTAATTTTGTATTTAAAAATATGGACTCGAATTTCATCAATGTTGAGTAACAGACGACCCGTGATTGGCCCAACTAGGTTGACCATGTAAAATTAAATAAATTTTGGCCTCTAAATTCTCAAAATATTCGACTAACCTTCTGAAACTATATAGATATTATAGGATTATATTAATTACAATTACGCTTTGATGTTACACGTTAATTTTAAATCTACTTTTCTATAGGTGTTCAAGTTTTAGATGCAAGTTAAACATTGGTTGTTGCCATATAGTCATGATAATTTTAAATACATATAGTCAAATTATTGATATAGCTCGTAAGTTACACACGATTCTTATGTCACGGCCCATCTTTCTTAACCATCCATAAGGAAGGTCTGAGTCCCTGTATTAGAAACGTAAAAGGACTGATGATGATCAGTGGCGGAGTAAGGGGGGGCGGTGGGGCAGAACGGGCCTCCTAATGGGCTACAGCCATCCGAACGAACGCAATATCTCCACATCACCTAAAGATTGACTGGTTGAGAATGCCTAAGGCATTAAGTACACCTTAGTACGATTGTGCATAACGAATTAATTAAATAAAAGATATCAAGTTTTTGCCCTGCCCTGCAATTCTGTAACAATCCAGACCCGAATTCGAATTCACTCATGTGTCCGAATTCTCGTCATTTAGTATAGAAATCCTATTGATTCCATTTTTTGTATAAAAATACAAAACAAAATTGATTGATTAAACGTGTCTTAGATATTTTAATCCTATATCATTTCGAAACTCACTTCACTTATTTCACGAAACATTATTACCAATTCAAGTTTGAGCGGATGCCGCTTTATGAAGTGAATTCGGACACCCGAGTGATTTCGAAATCGGGTTTGAAGTTTTACAGAATCGCAGGGCTGCTCTGCGATTCTGTAAAAATCCAGACCCGAATTCGAATTAAACGTCTAGATTCACGTTATTTGGTGTAGAAATTCCATCGACTCCATCTTTTCTATACAATACAAAGCAACATTGATTTATTATACGTGTCTCAGACATTCTATTCCTGTGTCATATCGAAACTCACTGCACTTGTGCTACAAAACGCAATGACCAATTCAAGATTGAGCGGATGCCGCTTTTTGAAGTGAATTCGGTGTTACAGAATAGCAGGGCTGGTTGAGAAAGTCGCCACCGCTAGGGTTAACCCTTAACAGCCGGCGATGCCGCTAATGACGGCGAGTGTACCTGTCGATCGCCTGCCAGAACCACACGATGACCGGATGCGCGTCATGATACCCGCCCCGGTACTCGGTGTTGGTGCGCCAGTCCGCCACGTCTAGTTCCGGCGCGCCCGCTATCACCAGTTCCAGCTCGCGCGCGTCGAACGCCGCCACCAGACGTGGGTCCACCACCTGGACCGAGCGAAACAAAATAAACATTAACATCTTCTAATTCAGCGTGTGCTCGCTCACCAATCTTTCAGATAATAAAAATAAAGTTGATTCTAACTGAGATCTTATAAATGATACGATATATTTTAATTCCGTTTTCATCAATATACAGTCATTTAACAGGAAGCTTTATACATATGTATAATATAGGATATAATATAGGTGGGCGAAAATCTATTTATTTATATGCACTTAGACACAAACAGACGGATAAAACTTTGAGCACAGATTTACAAAACATTAACTGAGATCTTATAAATGATACAATAGATTTTCATCAATAAAATCAGCTTGTTATTAATAGATATAATGTATTATAATGTTGTACATCCAAAGCACAATGTTTCGTTCGTTGTGATGTTACCTCTGAGATGGAATTGAATCCCGAACCGGTTGAAAATGTTGTACACTTTTTTAATAATAATATTTCTTTTTCTTATACTTATTATTATTACTGTTTAAAAATTGCAGTAATAAAATAAATAATAATTTATTCAAAACTACTTGGGAAAAAAGAAAAAAAAAATTTGCTTTATTGAATGTGTACATTATGTTTGACTTTGAGTTGAACTAGGTGGTTGTGGCGTCTTCGTCGTTTCTAATTTCCATAAAACAAAGGTCTTCAGAAACTTGGGATTTGGTCAACAACCGTGACGTAGGTTTAATATCCAAGCTTAGATTTATTTTACCTTGCCATGTTAGTTAATTGGGAACTCGATGGCGTAGTGGTTAGCACGTTAGGTCTGCGATACGGCTGTTCAGAAACTTTCGCAATGATCGGTCATAGGATGGGTGACCAAAAATTTTATATTTCGAGCTCCTTCGTGCTTCGGAAGGCACGTTAAGCCGTTGGTTCCGACTGCATCTGCAATCTTTAATACCCACCAATCCGCACTAGGACCGCGTAACCGCGCTTATTTTTCAAAGAATACTAATATGGAATCATTATTGAATGAATTATTTATATATTAGCACAGTTACGTGTTGCTGCTCTATGTCATAATAAATTGAATTAATATTAATTGGTGGACGGTTCTGCTAACTTTAAACGCGCCATCTATTAAAAAAATATGGAAACTACAAAAAGTACTGATTAAAAAATGGTAAGAGCAAAAAATCACGTTTGCTGTATGGGAGCCCTCTTTAAATATTTGTTTAATTATTTGTTTTTAAAATTACTATATAAGTACATATTCTGACAATATATCAAGTGTCTACCTGTTGTCGTTATCAATATCGAGTACATACTAGCAAAAAAATAACGTTTGTTGTACGGGAGCCCCTTTAAATATTTTATTTATTATATTTCTTAGTATATGTTGTTGAAGCGGCAACAGAAAAACATCATCTGTGAAAATTTCAACTGTCTATTTTACGGTTCATGAGAAACAGCCTGGTGACAGGCAAGTCTTAGTATGTAATAGGATTCCCGTTTTACCCTTTAGGAACCCTAATAAAAAAAATTTTTTTTTTTACCACTATTGAAGAATATTCTACAAGAAACTAAAATAATTTGAAAACTAACTCCTAATACTAATTAACTTTTTTAAAATCATAAAATATCTTTTTTGTGCCTAATAAAAATTAATCAATCTTTTTTTTTCCAGAAATAACAATTCAACTTAATCTGTCCCGAACTGCAACTTTACAGCCTCTCTCAATTGAAAATACCATCGTGGTCTAAAAAAGCTCTGAAGCTACTTCGACACGTTCATAAACTAAAACTACGCCGTCTGTTTTTACGTCTAAAAATCTGTGGGATTTTGACAGCATCCTGAGCGAGTATTCACCGGATAATTATGACGCTACTGTCTGCTGACAGCGTCGGACTAATTTTTTTTCGAACCGGGGCCAAAGTTGAAACTTTCACAAAAAAAAACTCATTAAGAGTATTTTTTTTTTATCTGTCCATTATTGAAGAATAATAAACATTTTTTTTTATATAGCCAGACCTCACTCCTTAACTTTAATGCCTATATCTATTTCTTATTAAATTGAGAGAAAAAAGTAAGTATCTAATAATTAGTATTCTGACTGACGAACTAAATTTAATTCCTTTTTTTTTATCCAGGAATGATCCCTATTGAGATACACTGTAATACAAAATTACACAAACATAATGGACGGCATTTTCTTTATAATGAATAATTAGTAAAAACGGAAAATCCTTTTTTTCAACTAAGTATATTTTATGATTTTTGCGCTTCCTTAGATCTGCCGACGGGGACATGTGCCCAGTTTTGCCTTTTCTCCTTAGATCCGGACCTGTTGTCCGCGGGTGACAACCCGCTCGAGGTACTCCGTAAGACGTATAAAATCTGTATTCAAGTAGAAATAACGAAATGCCTGGGTTCGATTCCCGAACTGAGAACTAGAGTGCCAGGTACATTGCGCGCTTCGTAATAGTGAAAAAGTAACAAGTGCTTGAAAAACTCGTCAGTCTTGTTAAGTTCTGTGCAGCTTATGTTCCTGAGCCCATTAGGGACCGTTACCGTTCGTCGACTTCGGACTTCGGGACAGAGGGACATCGCTAAGTTTTAGTGGGTATGCCCCTGCCGTTTGACTAGCCCCCATTTTGGGGGTAGAGTCCCATATAACTGGAGCTCGCGCAGGGTGAAGCCAGTATGCGTATCGCATTTCCTAGCTTCAAAAAAAAGGTCTAGGCTAGCTCAGTGGTTAGAGCAGCGCCCGGATTGCGGAAGGTCATAGGTTCGTGTCCCATCTCAGAGCGCCAGGGATTTTTCAAAAAAATTTCATTAACACATTGAATGCCAGCTGGAAAAGCTGATATTCTGGAAATGGCCAAATTGTTATATTTCTTTAAAATTTGATTTAGTTTGCTAAAATCATTTTCTACAGAGTTTCTTTAATTTTAATATTGTCTAGGTAGGTTTAACACGATATAAAAATATATCACGCGATATCGTCATTTGCCATACATAACACAATAGGGATGACAACTGGGTAAAAAACAAGATATTCTATTTAGTCCGTCAGTCAGATAATAGAAAAATATAAGTTACGTGTTTTTTTTTACTTCAATTTAACAAAACTAGCTTAGATAACAGACATTAAAGTTGAGGAGTGGGGGGCTTTTGTCACAGTTTTGTAGAAAATGTATCGCCGTTATTTCATGATTACGAATAATTTAAAAAAAACATGTTTAATATCTTTAAACAATCTAACTGAAGGGCAAACAAACAAAAATTAGTCGTCATGTCTATTATTGCACACATTCGGTATTCGACGTAAAATTTTTTTTTTTTACTAAAACCGAAGTCCATGGTCCCTATCCCCAGAGCCGCGGCCCTCGCTCACCTCGTGGAAGCCGCGCACCAGCCACTCGGTCTGGTCGGCCACGCCGCGCTCCACGCGCCAGCGCACCACCCGCTCGAGGTACTCCTTCTTGTTGCGCTCGGTGACGGCCACGTCGCGCCCGCCCGCCTTCAGCTCGCGCTCCAGCACGCGCCCGTCCGCCAGACGCTCGGACACGGCGAACGTCAGCTCCAGCGACGACACGCACCGGGCCGCCTGCTCACCACAATATACATAGCTAAAGAAACTGGAGCTCAGGGGGGGGGGACGTACGGGGATGATTGATAAAACAAGTCAAGTCTAAGATTTTGGACTTTCTGCCACCCCTTGGCGACGCCCTTTTAAAGAAACACTCACGCGTAACATGACGAACTCGAGAACTTTTTGTCTACACACAAATATCGTTTTGGTTCGTCTTCGTCTTTTATTAATGGGTTTTCTGCGCGTTTCGCACAATTCTGCCAATAATCAAGTGATTAAATGAGTTCAATTAAAATAAATTAATGTCTACATGTAGGTATAATGAAATTAATGAAAGATAACAATGAATCTCTTATTTAATTTGTCAATATGGCGTCACTTTTCGCGAGTGCGCCCATACGATATCTTACTGTCGACCCGAGAAAGTGACATTTGGGTATAAACAAAGCGTTTCTCGACTATATTACGCTACGCGTGCTGGTTGCGTCTAGCACGAACATCTTAATTGTATTCAATTTAAATAAAACTACTTTTAAATAGTTTTATCGCGTGTATTTTTGATTTCATTATTTAGACGTTTCTACAGATTCAGGAACACGTGTCTAAGTGAACACTAAAAAAAGCCATCGTAAATTTACCCAATCGAAAAAAAAATTGTTAGTTAATAGTTGATAAAAAACCCCATAAACAGAGTATAAAAATAAATATTTATTCATATTTTTAAAACAATGAATTCCAAAGAGAATCATCACAAAGTTCAGTATATTATATCGCACCTGCAACCAGCGCAGTGAGGCTGCGAACTGTGCGTCGAGCGCGTCGACGTCTTCCAGCGCGGGCGGCAGCCGCAGCAGCGCGCGGTACAGCGCCCGCGTGAACCACGCCTCCAACAGGTACCCGTGCACCAGCGCCAGACCCAAAACGCGACCGGAAAATCTAAACCTGTTAACGAAATACTCGCTAAATTAGATAAATCCCGTAGATAGTAACCGTATGACCGCACAGTGGTCTAAATCAGCTGTACAATTTACAATTATCTCAGCTATAAATTTTACAGATTAACATATAGGGGTCAGTTGCAAATCACTTTCCAGTAACTCGGGGTTATGAGTTGCTGGAAAGTGAGTGTCTTATAGTGTTGCCAGACGTCCCGTATTTCATGCACAAATTCAAAATCCTGCCGGTACCGATTTGGTCCGATATATAAAATAGATTTCCCATAAATGGTGTTAAAGTGGGGTGATGAAGTGGAAATAAATGTATTTCCAATTTAATAAAAACCAAATCAATGACCATATTTATGATTTTAATATGTAAAATCTAACAAAATATGTGAAAACTTGCGAGTTTCTATAAAAAAATATAAAAAGTAAGTAATTTGGTTTTTATTAATACTGGATAAATTAAATACATATTTTTTGCATTTTTAAACCTTTCAGGTTACCTACAAGCGCAGATTTTTTTTTTTAACTATAGTCTAGTGACAAAGAATTAACGAGTAAGTAGAGCGAAAGTGTTTTCGCGATTAAGATGGACACATGATACTTAATCTGCGTGTTGTATATTTATTGCATTGCTACACTATTACATTGTCATAGTATAACTGATATTAAGACCCAGCTGTGTGCTCGACTTTACATAGAAACATCTCATTTTTGTGATTGTTCGATTTTCAGACATCCAATCTTTATACAACAATGCTTTTATAAAAAAAAAGCGTGAGTAGGTAACAAAACCTCATTTCAACGTTGGAATAGACGTCACTGTTATGCAACATGATATTTTAATATAACCGTATCCGCCGCGTTTATTCCATAGTTTTTTTTTCTTGATTTCCAAATAGCAATAGGCCCGTTACGCATCAATTGTAGCTCCAGGATTGGGTTACAAGTGCTGCAGTGTTGTCACAGTGGGCAAAAAAATTGGTTAAAAACTCTAGGGTATGTATGTTTTTTAGGAACTGGATCGCGGGCATCGGTAGTAACCCGACACGATCATGGTGTATGGGGCCTGCGCGGGCGCACGGCGGCGTAGACGCACACCGGAACCGTAACGCATAAATATAGACACACGGCAGACATTGCCCTAAGTGTGCCACACTCTAGTTATTGACCATAATTCATGTTATTTTTTATGCAATGATTTCTATGTGAAGATAACAGAAGTTTTGTAAAAAATAATGTAAGACATCTTACTTATACTCAAACTACATTCTTTAATATACTAAACAATAATAGCGTTGAACTTACTACTAGTTGCAGTTGAAAGATGTTGAAATTAAGAATGGCTTTAGTACACAATTTAGTTACGGTTTTATGTGAACATGGTTTAAGGTAAAGCCTGGTTTACATTTGCTTTTTTTATTCCTATGTTGTATGCTTAAGTCACATGAAAAACAACATAATATTTGCTTTTTAACATGCTTAAATATACATTTAGACTAGTTAATCAGATTTTCAAAATTCGTATTTTAAAAATGAAGATGTACTTTATGGAAAACCGAAGAAACTTAAAAAAAATATAATCATCAAAAAAGTATTTTTAGTATGGTTTAATTAAATTGTAAAGTGAAATATATTCCACAGTACACTGCGAGTTCTAAAGCACAACTTAATATACGGTGGTTTATAAAAGTTATCTAAATTAGCCTCTTTTACTAATCAGTATATTAGCTTAAGTACGTTGAACAAAATAAATAAAAAATCGCTAAATAAACATAATAATAGCAGAAATGACGGCTTAACTACTAAACAGTACATTACGACACTTCCAATAACATTCAACTGTTAACATACCTGTTCCGAATACATACGTACTGTTTTATTAAATTTATTTTATTAAGATCGACATATTAATTCCTTTGTTATCCTTTGTTCAAATTATATCGTGCCAAAAGCAGCGCTGTGTTCGATTAAAACTGATGAACAACATACTGTTTAACGAATGAGTGCGCGCGCGCAACACAATCGGCGGAAATCTATATACGGACGAAAGGACATTGATTTCTTGGTACACTTAGTCGAATGAATGATTTCGTATGGTAAAAGCTACAAATCTAAATCGAAACATTAATACTAAATTAAGTCGTTTTAAAAGAAATAATATTTTAATAAAGCGTAATTAAATTGAGGAACTAAACAAATAATCTGTCTGAAGATATTAATAGAAGTATATAATTTTTAAGATAGCTTAGACAATAAACAGTTGGACTATGTTACCTATCTATACGTAGTATAAAAAAAGCCGCTTCTTGTTTGTAAGCTGAGATCTAGAAAAGCTAAGTTTATAAAATAAAGTTGGCAAAAAAACAAGTCGATGGAGTAGCTGCCACAATATAACGTCAGTCTTACGAAGTTATGACGTAAGCAGTATTATGAGTGTAATACCCTATTGGGTTAAAACTAGATATCTATTCCAATTAGAACATTATGCTATCTGTTGACCTGTCACATCGAATCAATCACATTCCACCATAACACGCTACAAATTATCGTTAATCTAATATATATTATTGGTAATTGAAATCAATGTAGAATATAGTAAACAAACAAAGTCAAGGTCACACTATCTGAAACGTGAGATGTAGTAAACAACTAAGCGGCAGGTTAGTGAAGTGATATAACCTTATGAACTCTGCTGTAAGGTAACGGCTTTCTATTTTATGGTACGTAATTTTAAAAAGCCTAAAAGATTCTATTAATAGCAGTGATTTGTCGATTTTATAAAGGCGTAATGACTGAGAAATGTAAGGAAGAAAAACCTGTAAAAATAAAAGTCAAATGGTTCCTTTGTCCAATAGCAATGACTGATGTTTTATGGAAAAGAAGAATCAAATATTTTTACAAAATTTTTGAAACTGTTGTTTAAATATGTTTGTTTGTTTATCAAAAATATTTCTCTGAATTAAACATCAATTTGCAACTTATTGAAATAATGGTTATCTCAAAATTTATGTTACAGAAATAAAACCTGTGAAAAAAGAAATTTTCACAGATGATGTATTTCTGTTACCGCTATAACATCAAATACTAAATAAGCAGCATTAAATAAATTTTATTATTTTCTCTCTCTCTCTCTCTCATTAGGTCCTATTTTTTCAGCAAATAAACACACAAGTTATCCAGTTTTGATATGGATACCAGACCATGTGGAGCGTTCCACAGCGAGCAGGGCTTTTGTAATTATATCATTAAATAGACATTCCATGTAATTTCCATTACAATCACAATGTTAACAGTGATGCAAATGCTAATTACAGTTATCCGTGGTAATGACAGATAATCAGTACTAACTATGTTATGTTATAATTTATTTTGCTATGGCTATTATAACACAATATAGGAAACTCTACAACCGAGATCGCTTCCTAGTCGGTAGGTACACCAATTAGTCATACGTCATTTAGACATTATTATTTTGTATGACGTCATTATCTGTTCCTACGTTAAGTATAAGATATTATACAGTCGACGCCACGATGAATATACAAAATAAACAGATTCTCCAATAAATTTTCAAACTGAATCTATTGGAAATTAAATTAAACGAAAAATATCAAATACTATAGGCAATAACTATTTTTCGATTGCAATAAGGGATATGTCACTTTGACATTGACGTAAGAAGAGATGCGACATTATAATACAAAATAGATAAATTAAAAAAAGAAAAGTGTTTATCAGTATTAAGCTATTACTTAATAGCCGGACTTTGGTTTAGAGATGTCTCACTTGTTTATCAGGACACAGATAACTTTAAAATAATATAGACCCAACGTCACATAAATTACATTTATAATAAAATAGATCCAACGTCAGAGCACGTTAGACGTTATAAAATACGTATCGAACTTTTTATATGACCACAGAATATTAAAACTCAGTAGTTCCAACAAATATTTAAGAATACTTTTCTCATGGGGGCCGTCCATAAATTACGTCACACAAAATTCATGATTTATAAACCCCACCCCCCACCCCTCCTGTCACATGTTTGTCAATACAAATTCTACTAAATATTGTTCCAATGTCACAGTTCGTCGACCCCCCCCCCACCACCACCCTCCTAACGTGTGACGTAATTTATGGATGGCCCCAAATGATTGTAAACTTTTTGATATAAAATAAATTAACTCACCACTCATGATGATTGTCAACGAACGCTGACATCGGGGACACGTGCACCGTATAAGTGTCATTTGCGGAGTACTCGAACAGTCCATAGTAAGGGTTGAACAGCTCTCGGGAGAGTAGAAAGAAGAATTCCCGGCTCGGCCCGCCGTAGTCCAGGCCTTCCTCGCCCTCCCAGAGCACACACAGTTTCCCCTTCTGTAACTCCTTCTTGCCGCAAGACATGATACGCCTGAACGCGTCTTCAAGCAAATGTTCGCGTCGTATGTGAAGCCTGGAATTGTAAAAGTATCGTAAGGCGTTGTAATCATCAGTCTAGTGCTAGGGCATATACTTTTCTTATAAACGGAATAGAAATAAATTGAACAGGGAGAATGAGTCATGATCTTACCACACGGACCAAGTGTGCAATGGTGGATGTTAGTTAACTTCTACAGATGCAGTAAAGACCAGTGGCTTAACGTGACTTCTGAAGCACAGAAAGCATGAGATAATAAACTTTTGGCCACCCACCAAATGGCTGGCCAATGCGAACGTTGCTTGATTTCCATATTAAAGATAATTTCATTTTAAAATTGTAACATTCGGTTATTATTAAAAATAATAATACTCAATATTTTCTAATAGCGAAAAACGCCTCATATCTGTTTGAGGTAAAAATAACTTTGTGACAATGTCACTGCGTTAATACTCTTTGAACGATATCGATTTGGTGTATTTACATGCTATTTTAATCGCACCGGGGGCAACAAAAGTTCATCGCTGTCGTCACTAATTAGAATTGACTTTCCTCACGTAGTCGCGTTATACGGTGCTGGTGTATACGACGACCCAATTACCGAGCTTCACTGCTATGGGCGACCCATTTCCTGCATGTTGTTAGTTAAAACTGACTTTCAATGTAGCATTCGTTTTAATTAAAGCCGTCTGTAGTATGATAACATGTTGCGAGAGTAAATTTTAACGATCTGTTGCTAATAAAATCTATGTATTAATAGTGAAGTCGGATCCCACCAACCAGGATGCGTCACATTACGAACTCCAAAAACGTTTTGTCTGCGGGACTGCAAAAGCGTGGATTGCTGCGTGAAAGGGAAAAAGGTTTTAATCCTGCACTGACTATACTAATAATATTCCCTAAGTTAAATGGAAAACGAAAGAAAGTCTTTGAGAAATATACAAGGTGTGGTAATGAGATGTTTGAAGAATATGCGACAAGTATTAATAAATCAACATGCTTTGGTGGTTCAGGCACGGGGAAAAAAAATGATGAAAAAGGATTTTAGAAGCGCCGGAATTCACCTTCAATTCTGCGTAGAGAATTCGTCGTTTGAAATAGAACCACAAGAAACACAAGAAGTCAAATGCATGCAGTTATCGATTAACGTTATTAAGTGAAACGAAAGAGTGTTTTCGGAAGAGTAGAATTGGGAGATCATTGGCGTCTGCTTACCCCCCAATGTAAAGAGTAATATTTCTATTTTTTTGAAATATTTGCATGTATTTGAACAGGTCAGCGGTTCTACCGCATAACTAAAGCCCTGAATGATTTGTCAGAGTAAGAGATCAACTAACTGTCCATAGTCAAATAGAGATAGGACAGACTTCAGTTACGCGGTAGAGCCGCTGCTGTCAGTCGGTTCAGTCAGAATGTTAACTGTGTTAGGTATTACAAATAAATACTACATCTGAATTTAAAAAATCTCAGTATTTACTTGAGTTTGCCAGGCCCTTGCCCGTAGCCTTTGCTTTCTAGCTTGCGGTAGAAGGCGCGCAGCTTCGCCTCGAAGTCTCGTCGTTGCGGCGCGGGCGCACGCGTGGTACGCGTTGCGGCGGGCGACGCGGCCGGCGACGGTCCACCGACCGCGCCGCAACCGCCCGCTGGCACGTAGCTCATTATCTCCTGCTCGAACAGGCTGTAGGCAATACATACTATTATTATTTATATTTTCACTACTTTTGCTTACGAATACACCGTTTTCAACGTATTAGTCCGAAAATATGCGTCAACAATCAACAAGCCCAACATTTTATGGCCCTTCGAGCCGGTTGACTTTTTTCGTTTACAGTAGTAAAGGAAACGAATTATCCGGTTTACGTCAGTTTTAAGTGATAATTATGTGGTGGTGTATGTGGTATAATCAATTCAATATTCTAATATTTTAGTTTTCATTACAACGAAACACCAAATATCACTATATCAACCCAACAATAAAAAAGAGTCGAGAAAATAGGTCGAAATCTTATTGCATTTTACAGTAGCAAATAAAATAATTTGCTAAAATAGGTTGTTCTTCTAGACTTCTCACTATATCTTCAATTGAAAAATAACCAAATTCATCTTAATCTCAGATATTTGAAATCTGTCCTTATCCTATAAAAATCATTTATTATGAAGCAATAATTATATTTGACATCGTTCAATTTATGATGTTAGTTCATGTGATGTCAATTTGCTCATTAATAAATTAACCAACATATAATCATTATTTATATATATATGATAATTATTATTTAAGTAACAACACTTAATAGTGTACAATTAGATCAGTTGTCATGTCACTGTCGAGCGTAAAATGTTTCCACTGAAGTAGTTAATACCGGTGACCAACATTTATGGTTGTAATAAAAGGAAATATTATGGTATCCTGGACGTAACGTTGTCAGCTTCGTGGTTAGCTAAATGCGGTTTTGTTACATGTATTGTCTGCTGATATTGTGTTTTGAGAATAGGTAAAACTGATCTGTACTTAAAATTAAATATAGTTCAGGCATTCAGGAAAAATGTAATCAGTACACTACAAAACGTATTAAGCTGTAGCTTAATAGCTTTAAATACGTATTATGAATGCATTATAAATATATGAAATGCATCTAAATGGAACTGTAGGAGCGCATTTTGCATTATTTTGGTGCTCGAATTCCGTATTCTCACGCTAGATCCTTTGAGGGGTAGGTAAAAAAGACTGGGCGTCAGAAGGCACGGACCTTACATATGTATATCTTTCATCTCCTCGAATTTTTCATCTTCATATAATCCCTTTGCGGTTATTACGGTTTGGGTTCTGACATCACCTTGCAATAGCAAGTAATCGATTTGATAACGAAAAGTGCGTTTTGGCCTTCCTCTACCGCTACATTTTTCCACTTTAGCGTTATATATGACTTATTTTTTCATTCGCCGCATGTTAGAAGTAGACGAGTCTACTTCTATTAATTTCACTTAATTTTTCAAAAGTATCTAAATAAGTAGGACATGATGCAATCTTTGTGATTTCTATTCTTTATAATCTTATAATAGCAACATGAAATAGAAATGCGTGCGAAAGTATACTGGCAAAATAGTTGATTTTTTCTTGCGAATAAAGAGATTTGCATCTGGATGCTTTGTTTCACTAATTAAATGGGCAGTATATTTGTGAAAGCTGGTTTCGTTATGACCGGGGTATAATTTAAATATTATATAAATAATCAGGTTTTAAGACTGAAAAGATTCTGACTGTGGAAAGTTTAAGGGTAATTTTCCGGAAAGTCAGACAGGTAGAAACATTATTTTTAATTCATTTATTCTTCTAGAATGTTTACATTTTCCCAAATTCACCGAAGAATTAAAAAGTAAAAAATATCACTAGAACTTTGTATAATATGCCCATTGCCCATACGGAGCAATGAACCGACAAAGATTATATCCAAAAAGAGGAGAGCAAGGCCGGCCCACATTAGACAGAGACAAAACGTGGTGCTCTAGGCTAGTAATACCCGTAATCGATTTAGGAGAGCGAGCGGAGATTTAGAGCGGGCCCGCCCCCCGCTCGTCGTGATCGAGATTCGGTAATTAGTATAATAATTTCATTTGGACCCGTGAATTATACGTGTGCGCGCAGGCCAACAGATCGCCTTCAGATAAAGCTTCAAAGTTTGTTGTGACCCGTTTCTTGTGGACATTTTAACGCGACACCGCGAGCCTCTTAGACATAACAAAAGTCGTTTTTCGAAACACTCGGTTGCCAATTACAATGCATCGACTCATTCGAAGGGCATCTGATCACACATCACACGCAATCCTACTAATATCACGTTCATGTTGCTACCCAAAGGACATGGCTCGAGCCTTTCTAGAGTAAAAGCCTTCGAATAATATAACAGCCAACCTATTATATTTGACGTTACGTAAGCGCCATTTGCAAAGGCAACAGCCGCGTGCTAATTATTTGCAGCATTGTTCTCCTAGTGGCATTGTTGTGATTACTACTATAAAAGTCCAGGAAATTGAGGAAATGCTCGCTGCTACCTGGGCGTGCAACGATTGTGTACTCGCAGCTGCAAGGTCGTTTTCCCGCGTCGACGATCGATGGGAATGACCTAAAATTATGCCAGTAACTAAGGGATGTCTGTATGAGTGAAACTTGTACAACTGTTCCAATGAAGAGAATGAATGTTTGATAGTTCACCGAACGCGTTATTTATAGAACTCAGTTTAAAAGTTTACCTATTAATTACGTATAATGTATTTGAATTTACGTACAGTTTCTTGTGTTGCGCGTCATACATGACGCTATTGCCGTATTTGTCAGTTGTAATTCTCACTACATAACTCCTTTTCGTGTTAATTTTACTCGAGCGTTATATTTTTCATGTCAGGTATAATTTTTATTACATATGTGATGAGCCGGAGCGGAGACATGGTCTCGATGAACATCCCACTCGTATATCATTGAAGGGCCACAAATGGCCGAAAGTTAATGACTAGCGGAGGCATTCCCCCGGAGGTCGGGCGCACGCGCGTCCGCGCCCGGGGCAGCGTGTGCGCAACCGAGCCCCCGGTCCCCGGACCCCGGACCCCGCGCCCGCGCCTCGGTTACTCGACAGGTGCGCGAGGTGTGGCTCGCCCGCAGGCCAGACCATTGTGTACAGATCGACGATAGTCTCCTTGATAACGTTCCCGAAGACTTGACGTCTTGATTCCGCAGGATGAATCGAACATGACGCAGCAGCAGATCGACGTGCGCCGATATCGGCGGTGCTTATTCAATTAACGGTGGCTCCGATAGGTGGCCTAATTAGAAGTGACGTAATAGTTTAAACCTTCCGTTTTGAATCGGTGAGAAAGGATGCGGTCGTTTATGAAGCGCCTACACTAATGTAAAGGGCTACTTTCACCGTAAACAGTCCTAAGGTTATGGCCATTGGTAATAACTCATTAACGAAAATGTACTCGTAAACTTGTTAAGCGCTCGATGAACCATTTTACTTGTATTAATTATTCAATCGAGCTTCAACAGAACTCTGACATTAAAACCAAAATATTCAAGGCATCCAAGTTAAAGCAAAACTATTCCGTCAGAAAAAATGATGCTTCCGTAACTGAAACGTTGAAGACTGAAGACCTGGTCGGCAGCCGGAGGCGCACGTTGAAATTGGACGTCGCAGGTACCTCGATACCGCCAGCGGAGGTTACCGACACCCATAATTACCGAGACCAACCCAACAAAGTGCACCCTGAAGGCTACTTCGAATACCTTGAATTTTTCCAATAAAAACGGATTTCAATGAAATATGTTTTACGTCCAGCAATAAAATCATTCGACTAGTATCAATTTTATCATATTTTAAAGACAATTTAATCAATATTGATGAAGATAATCAGAATAAAACAAAATAAAACTTATAACAGGAGCAGAAACAATATGGAACATCAAACAACGCATAGGGAATTTGGGATACAAACATGGTGGTGAAGATGAAAAAGTATCGAATTACTTCCGAGAATAATTCAAATGTTGACACGCAGAACGGGACCAATTGTTAAACACAATGGGGCGTCCGTTTTAAATTTTAAAATAAAGTCTCAAATTATATATTTCTTTTTCTAGAAGGCGAGCTTATATTATAAAGAGTCGACATTGAGGCGACCTCATTGGAAATAGCAGCCGATACGTGCCCAATATCCTAACAAATTACTTCCTATGATGAATGTGCTTCAATTTACTAACGAGAAAACAATGCATTGATTTTTTTTTTCGTTAAGAATAAACAAACTTGTCTTAAGGCTGATAGCACACAAAATCGAGAAGCGTGGTTCCAAGGCCACATCAAATAGAATGTTACAAATCGGTGTTTTCAATTTTCTAAGAGACAAATTATCCGGTGGTGTTGTTAAGAAAATAAAATACTGTTTATGTTTTGATTTAAATGATATAAGTAAAAATTAACTGGACAATCTATACTTAATATTATAAAAAGGAAAGATTTGTCATTTTTTTTTTGTTTATTTGCACTGAATGGGCTCCGAAACAATTGGCCTGATTTAAAAATTCATTCACCTACGCGAAGCTTGATCATATGCGGACAAAGTCGCGGGAAAACAGGTAGTTTATAATAAAACCATAATTCCGAAACAGTTGAATTTAGTACTTTTCAACTAGTTTCCGGGAAAATATTCAAATGTAAAATTAATTGGGGCATAAGGATAAATATTCTCCCGCCGGTATTATCGATATATTAAAATGAAATAAAATGTAATATAAATGAAAATAACATAATTAAACATTGTGAACTGCTTTTCAGGACCAGCGCATGCTAGTATAGGTACTAGCTATTAGGATAGCTAATACCTCAAACTCGATTTTCCAAGAATAAAAGCTAGATTTATAAGAACGGGTAGAATGAATTGAAGATAATTAATGTCATCATAACCGACCCATTAATGTCCCAACTGCGGCGACATGGACCTTCTCCATGTATGGAATCGAAACGGGACGATGGGCACGGAGGAGCTCGAGATAATACTTTTTTGCTTTCGAAAGTTTCTTAATATCCGTATCGCACACTGAACGCGCTAACCACTGTACCATCGAGATCCTCAAGAAATTAGAGTTCAGTTTCAGCTCAATGAAACTTAGCGCCCTAGTCAAAA